GACTAGACTCTGCATAGTTTGATATCCGATACGAGGTATGATTATTAAGTTTCATATCACACGGTAGTCCGCAGAAGTCGCGGTGTATTGTAATTTCTGCAAAAGAATCAATTCGTCGCGGTTTATCGTGGTGAGAATACAAATGAGACAAGATCGCAGGGAGCCAACAGAAACGTAGTTGAAATATTCGTCGTCAAATTGGTAACTACCACGAATAATTAAAAAATTTTTAGCTACGGAAACATATAATTTAAGAAAAAAATTTTTTATCTGAAAGAATTTAAAATATCTAAAATTAGTATTTCGATGTTATATTTAGAATTGTCGGCAAAGACTCTTGCTTTCATCGTACAGTGAGGAGGTTTTTGTTCCTACGGAGAAATATGCAACTTTATGTTACAAGGTTAATAGTACTACAATATTGGTTTTTTTTTTAAATAAAAAGGTCTTCAAAGAAGCAAAACGTTGCATGACAGGCCAATATCGTGCACATTTTTTGCGATTAACATCACAATAGATTGTAAAGAAATGGCGATGATTCACAGAAATAATGATCGGATTGGAGTCGCGTCGGTGGAGATACGCTACTGACACTGGTGACGAGTTATCTGGCATGCCACCAATAGAGGAGCGCTTGAACAAGATATCCTTGTACTCTTGTAAAACGGAGGAGCAAACGCTGATGTAATTCTCATATTTCGTCGAGGAATGTGCCCGATCGGAATAAATTCATAGAACGATAAATAGAATAATACTGTGTATTACATAAAAATGATAATTAAAAGTCTCTTTTAGTTTTCAAAAGACGACAATTTTCAAAAGTTAATAAGTCGTGACTTAAAAGAACAAGTTAATAAAAGAGGTGAATAAATGATAAGTTTATAAAATAAAAGACTAGAGCCTATAATTTAAAAATTCGCTTTAATACCTGGAAATAATCACCTGGAGTAATTTTTATGTCAGCAGCAAGAAATAAAGCTCAATCTCAGAATCTTTACTAAAAAGGAACCCATACTTATGTTTTATTTTTTACCTTCTTCAAAAAAATATCAAGTAAATCTTTGTACATATTGATCTGAAATATTAATAAATTGTAGGACAATCAATAATATAATATGTAACATGTAATTAATAATAGTGACTTTTAATTGAAGTGTAAAAAACACATCAGTGATGTTTATGTAAAAAAAATTAGGTTTCCAAGTTAATATAAATTAACTTCAAATCTAAATTGAAATAAAATAAAATTAAGACATACCTATATTTGCATATTGAAAATATAAACAAACATCTGTCGCATATTCTTTTATCTATACAACTATTATAATTACGCGGATTCATCACATACGTTAACTTTGTACAATAAACACTAGTGCATATTTTCAAAATATACCCGCCTCTCATTTTGATCCAGTCGGATAAAATTCAGAGATTTAAATAATTCAGAGATCCATTCACAAGTCCTAGAAAAACTGTTACTTGACCATTTTGACAACGCAAAATGTCATGAGTGGCTCTCATCGTCATCAATATAATTAATGCTTGCGGGGGGAAACTGTAGATGGTATTTAGATGGTTATTATAATGAGAAAGTACCAATGTACGATTAATTGCTACATCTGTCTGGTGGATGGCGATATTAACGATTCAATACCGATCAAGCGCGAGTATCTCCGTGAAAACTTGCGAGACGGACACGTTGAGAAGATATTCAACTTTCGAGGCCGCAAAGAAATCGCACGACGTCAGAGAGCGGACGTTAGACAGAAAGGGAGAGAGAAAGAGAAAAGAAGAAAGATGATCGCCATCCCATTATAGCTGAAGTCGTCGAAGACCGCCTGGTACGGCCCAAAATAGTTCACGTGGAGCCACGTCACCGTGTCGATTGGACCATCTCGCATTGAAATTTGCGCTCCCGGACAAGCTATATCATTCATCTAATGAACACGATTTGACGTGACGTTTCGTTGCAACTTTGTGCGACGAATATGTTGCTTGGACCGGTCGATACGTATTTAATCTACGATCTGACCACCACGATAATGTAGTCCGCTCGAGACTATTGTAGAAGCGGTAAGATATCGCGATCAAACATGCGCATTTAACGAAATCCGCGTCTTCAATCCGTGTGTTCCAAGACCGGTTTAGAAGGCTAGGTCCGCTTTTTTTTTTAGGGAGAATAAAACAACCTCCCAAATTTACTTTGAGATCCTCGTTAGAGATATCGAAAAAAAAAATGAGGAATTACATTATTTGTAATCCGCAAGACAATGGATGTCTAAGCTTTTTATAATAAGTTTATAATTTTGTCTCTTTACTTTTAGATTCTCGATCACAAAAAATAATCTTTTTTAGAAAATTAATTCTTCAGCATGTATAATAATAATTACAAAAATACTTACAAATATTTGTTGAACGTATTAAACTTATTCTTTCAGTTTTTATAAAAGAATAATTTATAATTTATATAATCGAACTTATATTTTTAAACTATTATTATCTGCAGTATTAAAATATTTATATTATTATTAAATTTTAAACAATTTATCAAATTTGTGAACTATTGAATTATAAACTTTCTTGGAAATCACAGAAATATTGCTTATCTGATAGAAAAGTAACACACAAAAAAAAATTCAAAAATTAATATTTTTAACATAATGACAGGAAATCAACTCTAAAGTATAATGTATATTTTTTGTTGATAAAACGCACAATACATTTGTAATTCCTTCAATTTAACGCTAGAGAACATAAGTGTGTCGCTTATCTTCTATCTACTCTGACCAAATTCGCAATGATTGCTTATAGAAAAGATAATTTTTTTCAATTCAGAATTTTTTAAATGTTCTCTTGAAAAATTACTAATTTTAAGATATATTACTTTTCTATCAAACAAGCGATATATCCTTCGACAAGTTTAAAAACAAAGTATGATATACGTCGATTATGCTGGTTAATCGCTCTTTCCAATACTTTGTATACACACTCAATACGTATATAACCGATGTACGATGGGGTCAATGCTCGTAAGAACAAACAGCAAGCTTTCTCTTCTTATATTAGACACAAATCCCTGCCATACAAAACAGAATTAAAGAACTTTAAATATTGTGATTTTGCCGCTTTAAGACGGTCTGTGTAAGAAACGACAACACTGAGTGGATTTTGCTTGAATCCGGAAAACAAATTCGACTGTCCGATCGTACACGTGCTTTATATTTCTTCCATAAAAGTTTCATAAGTAGTATTAATATGAAGGAAACCAACTAAGTACGTTAATAAAAAAAGAGCTGCACTTGTTAGATAAATCAAGAATATTTGTAACAAAATATTCATCTACAGAAATCCTAACGTTCTGGCGTATATAACAAAAAATTCTTTTCTAAAAATTTTATATTTTTAAAATATAAAAAAAATTTACAACTTTTACAGAAATAAAAATCCGAAAAAAAAAAACGAAATTTCTTGATGTCTTGTTTGTTCAAACAATTAAAAATATGCTCTTTTAACTGAGACGTGAGTCGTAAAAAAATGGGCAACAATTCTGAATTATATTATCTAATCAAATCGCATATCGTAAAAATTTTTTCCACAAAAATTTTATATAAGGATTAGTTTCACAAAAGTGGGAGAAAAAGAGAAAGTCAATTACATCTCAGTTAACTTAAATTCAACGATTATGATTTAAAACTGATTTTCGAGTAGTCGTGTCGTTTTAAATATCCACCTCGACGATCTACATCGGAGAGTGTAATTTTGTATTCGCATATTTACCTAACTTCAAATGTGCACGAAAACGTTCGTGTTTGCAGTATCGCTGATCATCATAACCCAGATACATAAATGGATCTATGGGTCACCGATCGCTATTTTTTCCTCGTGCACTTCTATTTACATTGATTGTTACTCTATATTCTGCACAACGGGAGTATGAGATATCGATCGCTTTGACGTCCTACATTGTGGAAAGATCTCCTGGATCTCTCACATTAGGAATGTCTATTTGGATAATTATGCAGTAGAGCTGACAACGAGTACGCGCGACTAGCGGTACCGTGCGTGTGCTTTGTTCGTTCGCACGTGCCACGGAGTTCGACTGATTTTGTCCGTACAACGCGTTAGCAAGTTAAAGTAAAACGAGAAACTGCTGCTTAAAATTGACGCGAATAAGAACATACTCTGAAAAGTTTGGTTATTTCATAACCAGACTTTTCAGAGTACAATCTTTAAGTAGATAGGGTGCTCAGAAAACCCTAAAAAATTTACATTTTTGTAACAAAAAATTGACAATTAAAATAGACATTGAGAGTCGACGCAGTAAACAGTGCGCAATTTTCATATAATAAAACTTTTTAATAGTTAGATCACATATAAATTAAAGTTGCAGGTATTAATTGAACGACATAGAAACTTATAGTAGTAAATATCAGGACATTTCGGCAACTTTCAGCAGTTAAAATAAAGAATTGACTGCAATAGATCCGCTACTTTCCTTCGTATGATTTATTTTTATAGTTATATATTTTTTTATTGAAGTACAGAGTTAAAATTACATTATTTATATCCGAGAGAGAGAGAGAGAGAGAGAGAGAGAGAGAAATGTACAAATATCAAACTTTAAGAATTCTGAGCAATATTTTTCAGTTTGTTTCTTCCGAACAAGATTTTTAAGATAATTACTTATATGAGGAACTTTTTTTCATGCATCTATAACTATGGGATTCAGAACATTTGAAAATTATCAACTTATTGTTATGCGATTGTTTTCGCTTGCAGATAATTGGCTTGTTGCAAAGACCATTTAACAGTTTCGCGATAAGATAAAGCTGCGATTTGCGTCTATATGGGTCAAAAAATTAATACGCAATTCATAGCTGCCACATTGTGAGACAAAATATATCGATCGAAGGAGGCGCGTTCGAACCGGTAAATAAACGATGGTGTCTCTCATTCTCTCACCGAATATCATGATCAATCTTTTTCTCGTGTTCACTTACCCATAGATCGTCGAGAGTGATGGAATTATCGGTATAGAAAACCAGGACTTCGGCCGTGAGCGGCGATGTTTCACGCAGCTTCGACGCCAGCAGCAGGCAGGCGGTGCCGAGCAGTTGCAGCTGCGACTTCCTGATTGGGCAGATCGAGAGGAACCTGTCGACGTAGTTCATCGACAGGGGAAAGACCTCATCCTGGCACTTCTGCTCCTCGCATACCTGCAACAGGCGCAGAATGATACATTTACAACATTATACGTACTGATGTAACACGCACGTCACATGATAACGCAACGAGAAATCGTTTCAAGATCGGATGATCGAGAGAGAATCGCCGCGTGATAACGTCCAGATACGCAACTCGTAATGCAAATTTAGCTCACCAGCAGGTCCGCGTTGCGATTGAACGTAACGATTAGGTATTCTCACATATAAAAATATTGTTATACATATGAGCGTGGTGTTGGAAAATCAGAAGTCGATTAACCCTCTAAAAAGGGAGAAACACAAAAGAAGCAGATTTTCTGCTTTCCAACAATACATAGTAGACATAGTAGACATGTTTTTCTAGATTGTATTCGCCGACTTATTGAAGGCGATCCCGGCCTTGGACCAAGGGACTTGATAGTAAACACGTGTTAAAGCAGGAAACTTGACACTGGTTGTCGGAAAGCAGAAAATCTGTTTCCTTTGTGAAGTTTGTGTTCATATCTTAATGGTAGGATTAAGGTGACCCTACGACTTCGTCAGTTAAAGTTTTTTATTTACTGTCACATTATTTAAAATCGGTAAATTTTATTTATTTATTATATTTCAGTAATTTTTTTTTATTTTGTATATTAATTAGATGAAAAATAAACAGAACAGAGTATCTAGGCAATCTAACTCCACCTTCCTGAATATTTTCTCAAAATCCATCGTATACCAGTTAGAGAGAGAGAGTTAATGTAACAATTGAAATTTCTCCTCTCCAACTTTGTGAATGCGATTCCAATAGATTCGTGATTAAAATTCTCTTGCTCTTTAAAACTTTTAGAGAGTGAGATTTTACTCTTCTTTCTTAGAGTGAAATCTCATTTTAACCCACATTTCTTCCCAACGTTTTATTTATGGAACATCTTAATTTTCTTCTCTCTCTCTCTCTCTCTACATATATATATATATACACAATATCTTTTTTATTTTTTTTCTTCATATGTATCTATACTTATATAATCTACATATATAGAAAATTAAAGAAATTTTCATATATAGAATATTCATATGAAGAAAAAAATTAAAAACATGCTGTCTTATAAATAGGAAGAAATAGATTAAAGATTGAAAAATGAGCCACTCTTTTTAAAGACTAGCTCAATTTTCACTCTTTATAATAAGATTCCACTCAAAAGAATATAGACAATACATTTTATTTTTCAAGAAACTTTCAAAATTTATTCTTCCTTATAGTACTCAAAGGGTTCACGTAGAGAGAGAAGAAACGAATTTTCGCACGACAATCGTCTGTAAACCTAGGTGAAGACACGCACGAATATCACACCGGATTTCCTTCAATCGTATTTTAACAAGCACGGTCGTGACACTGTCACTACGACTGCAGGTCGATCGCCTTGGCCACAGGTCGGAGAACTCTTTTTGACTTCGGAAATCTTCCATCGGATAAATTTCACCGTAAAATTTAACGATCTCTTTAAAAGGACCTGGAGAAAAAGGACTAGTAAAACACAGTCTTATCGTAGAAAATGGATTAACTACCTATGTGTGGTAAAGATAATTAATTGCATTTCATTAGTTTTGACGCTTACAAATTTATCCGAGATTTATCCGAGTTCTCTAGCGAACTTCCTCTCTCATTCTATATTCCGTCATACAGATCAATTAACCCATTTGCAATCTGGGTTTTTTTTTGTTATATACAAGTGAAATTTCACTCTTAAATTTTACTCTTACTAAAATTGTAATTTTTACTGAAGTTTTAACATTTACGTTAAAAAATTACTTTTAGTAAGAAAATAAAGTATTGAAAAGTAACTCTGAATTTTTCTAAATTTTTTGAAAGCCTAGAACAGTAAAAAAGAAACTTGGACTGAACAAAAAAACCCAGAGTACAAAGAGTTAAAGTACGATTTTATATATGAAGAATTAAAAACAAAGGAATTCCCAGTATCTTATCGATGATTTATCGCGTGCATCAACGCAATCGCGGAATCAACGGAATGAATCGCATTTTTCTTTTGTTATCGCATTTATTGCCGCATGTTTATTATTACCGCGTGTTTACATAAATCGCAGAGCCGACGGACCCCGGAGAGCCTTTGAAGTTTCGGGGACCGCTGAATTTGCGGTAGGATCGCGAATTAACTCCGCCCGGGCGCCTCGGGGTGCCGAGCCGAGTGATCGTGCGTTGTCGAGCCGCGTGAGAGGAACTTATTGAGCGTGACCAACGATCGCCGCAGTCAGCTAGCCAGTCCTCGCTGCCGCACGCACTCACGCACACTCTCGTAATTACCCCGCCGTCGCCGCCGCCGCCACCAATTAGCAACACGGGCTTAACGAAATAATCGCGCTACACCAAATCGACGAAAGTCATATGTGAGATTAGTTCCGCCTGAAGAGAAATAAGAAAGAAACAAAATTGACATGGAAAATTTTCGAAATTGGTTCCTACTAAAAAGGACGTTTCCGTCGAAACCTTTCCTTTTAACCTTTAAATTTCGTCAATATTAATTATCCCGAGGGAGTGAACACACCATTCAACGATATTCTTCAACGAAAAATCGGTTCGACAGATTATCTTGCATCTGTTCAAACATCGACGAAAGGCTGAGCGAGCTAAGTTGGGAGCAAAGGAGAATCCACAAAATGCACAAGCGGCGAAAAGAGACCGCAAGTCATCAAGAAAAGGCATTCCTATAATTCTTCGGTATATATTATATAATATACTATTCGGTATTATATAATATACCTTATTTTATTTTTTAATATTATATCAATACAAAATAAATACAATTTTTTAATTTAGAATTATGTCTTTTTTCTTTAATTTAATGTAATATTTTACATTATTTACTATAACCGTATTCGTTATTTATTACAACGTAATACTTGAATACTTCATTAAATAATAATAGACTATTTTTAACATTCTAAATCTCTCTCTCTCTCTCTCTCTCTCTCTCTCTCACATACAGAATGACGTGCGTTTCGAATTTAATTTGTACTAAATGCGGGTCTTATATCGTACAAATGCCGTGGACCGTACGCGAGAGGGGGTAGAATTTTGATAAAAAGAAACGAATTATGAAAATCATTTTTACGATGAAAAATAGAACGTTTATTGCCCAATTCATGACTTACACTTATTCGTAAAAATGTCTGATGATGCTCAAAGACTTGCTTTTAAATATGTAAAGATTTTTTTATCCCTCCCTAACTGAAATTCTGGATACGCCCATGCGTATTGCTATATACGTATTTTCTAGAAGCATTTGTTTAAAGTGCCGAGTAAAGCAATTATCAACGTTCGTTCAAAAACGTGGTTTTACATTTATATTCGCGATACACGCGCTCGCGCCTTTTAATTAGTAATGGATATATTTCGGATCTCCCTCTTTTGAAGATGAGCCGTCTTAGAACTTTGTTATTCTTATCTGCATGACTCTATCGAGCTCGCCGATCTCTTTTATAAGTTCGGCGCCAATTAAGCAGAATTGTCGCCGATAAAGCCGACCGCGACCGGTGTACGTCTTGTGTGTACCGATAATAATTAGGTAAAACTCGTTCAACAGCCCATCCGTTTTTACGAGAGTTTTTACACACATAAAAAATCCAAAATTTGATAGGAAAAAAACCAGTACAAATCCGGTATTAAATTGCCCGCGGTTTCGCGACTCGTAATTCAACACTTTCGCTATCAGCAACATTTGCGCGAGTTCATATACAGAGTGACGTGCAAAAAAATCGGGGATGAGTGAAGGAAGTGCCACGTCCTGTCTTTAAAAGCTCGTTGATGTACTTGTCACAATAAAGAGTACATTGAACGAAAATTAATTAAATAAAGTTGTATATATTTCTAATAATTCGCGAAACTAAAAAAAATCATCGGATTTGAGATTACGGAATCAAAAAGTTATATGTTTATCTCTGTTAAAATCAAATGATTGACTTTATAAATTATTTTACGCTGTTACTCAAGGTTCAACCTCGATTAGTATCATTTAACAAGCTAAATTATGCAACTTTAGTTTTCTTTTTGATAATAATAATTAAATAAAAATAATTTTTAATCCGACAGGTGTCTAAAATAAATTCATTGTTAACGAAACTGTGTTCGCTTTTAATTGTCAAAACTTCTAATATAATTGGAAACTACAAATTACTTAAAAATGTTTGTTTCGAATCTAATTTTCGAAGATCGCTAAGGAAAAAAAATGCAAACTTAGGAACACCATAGAATCGCGATTAGGGCTAGCTGCAATCGCTTTAAGTCGAATATATTCGATCGACGAATATGAGGATCTGTCAATTGCGTCGGCTGGATCGACGAACGCAATGTCAAAGAATTCAACGAACGCAATGTCGAAGAATTCGATGCGAACTTGCTATGCGTGCTACTGTGACACGGACACGTACACACACACGCACACGTACACACACACGTACACACACACGCACACGCGTGCGCGACCCAGGCGACTCGCTTTCGTCGTGAAACAACATCGTCGAGGTCATCGCGTGAATTCGGTTATTGCGATTAAATGTCTGGTACGCAGGAGCAATTAAATGCTCGAAGAAAAGAACGATATCGATGCAAACAAAGTTACAAATACCGAAAATTTGTTCGAACAAGTCTACCGTATCGAAATTACATTGCATTAAATATGGAAAAATATGTTGCACTGTATGAGTAAAACTGTCGAGTAAAATATTACTCGTATTATACATAATTATATGTATTATACATATGTAATTATACGTCTGTAATTATATGCATTACAATTATATATATTATATAATTCTCATTTGTTATCAGCTATAACAACGACGTTATAACTTAAAAAACAAAGATTTTCAGAAAATAAGTTGAATGTTTTAAATCATTAAAATTTTGTAATATTAATTTTAAAATATAATTTTAATATAATTTTTTGTGTAGTAAAATAAATGATGGACATTGTATTATTATTGCTTCTACAGAATAACACATTAACTGTCTAATA